ATGAAGACCTTTAATGGTGTCTTAATAGTTGTTGAGGGAACTAAAAGGAATGATCTATACATTCTGGATGGTTATACTATTATTGCTCATGCATCTATAGCAAGTCAAACTCTACATGATAAAATAAAATTATGACATTCAAGGCTTGGATATGTCAATGAAAAAGGTTTAGTGGAACTTGGAAAACAAAATTTGTTGAATGGTGATAAATTGGATAAACTAGATTTTTTTTATCATTACATATTAGGAAAATCTCATAAGGTTAAGTTTGAGACTATTATGCATGTTTCTAGTAGACCCTTTGAGTATGTTCACTCAGATCTGTGGGGTCTTTGAAGGGTGAAAACTCATGGAGAAGGTTCCTATTTTTCACCATGATAGATGATTTTTCAAGTAGAGTCTAGATTTATATTTTGAAAAATAAATATAAAATTTTTCAAAAAATTTAAAGAATGAAATACTCTTATAGAAAATCAAATAGGAATCAAACTAAAGGTTTTAAAGATTGACAATGGTTGGAGTTTATTTCAAACTAGTTTAATGAGTTTTTGCAGGAAACAAAGAATTAAAAGGCATAAAATTGTAACTCATAATCCTCAACAAAATGACCTAGTTGAAAGGATGAACATGACCATTTTGGAACACATGAGATGTATGTTGTTGGGTGCAGGTTTGCCTAAGAGTATCTAGGGTGAAGCTACAAAAATTGTAGTGTATTTAATAAATAGATGTTCATCTTTAGCTTTAAAATTCAAGACACCTATGGAAAAATGGAGTGGTAAACCAACACACTATTCAAATTTGAAGATTTTTGGTGCTCTAGTTTTTGTTCATATCAAGAAAGACAAACTTGAGGCTTGAGCTATGAAGTGTATCTAAGGGTGTGAAGGCTTACAAGTTGTGGAAGGTGGATTTTGGTTAGTCAAGATGATTTATAAGTAGGGATATCACATTTGATGAAATAATAATGAAAATGATGTGCAAAAGCCTGGAAGAAAGCAACTCATAAACAATTAAAGAGAAAACTTAGTTTGAGGTGGAGTCTCTTACTGGTGATTTTGGAAATAGTATTACATTAACAGATGATGTACCAGTAAACAATGTATCATCTGTTGGTTCAAATTATCAACTGATTAGAGATAAGACTAGGAGGAACATTGTACCTTCTAAGAGATTTGGGTATATATACCGACCTTATCTGTTATGGTCTTATTGTGGCTGAAGAGATACAAGACTCATAACTAAGTAATTTTTAAAGAGGCCATAGAGAGTAAGGAAAAACAATATTTGTTGCAAATTGTAAATGAAGAAATCGAGTCCTTGGATAAAAATCAAACTTGGAAGCTTGTGGATCTGCCCAAGAATCAAAGGGTAGTTGGATGCAAGTGGATCTTCAAGAAAAACGAAGTTATTCCACGTGTGGAGAAGGCAAGGCACAAGGCAAGGCTTGAGGAAAAATGGTTTACCCATGTGGAAGGAATTGACTACAATGAAATATTTTCATCTATGATAAAATACTATTATATAAGGATTTTGATGGCAACTATGAATCAACATGATCTAGAGTTGGAACAATTGGATGTCAAAACAGCTTTTCTTCATGAGGACCTTGAAAAGACTATCTATATGCAACAACCAAAGGGTTTGTAGATGATAAGTCTAACGTTTGTCTCTTGAGAAAATCACTTTATAGCTTGATACAAAGTCTGCATCTATGGTATAAGAAGTTTGATAACTTTCTATTAAGCTTGAGTTTTTTGAGGTGCAGCTATGACAACTACGTTTACATATCAAAAATAGGAGAAAAAAGTGTTCTCTACTTGTTATATGTAGATGACATTCTAGTAACAAGCTCAAACAAGTATGAGATTGTATGCTTAAAAGGAAATTAAATTATGAGTTTGAGATGAAAGATCTTGGTGTTGCAAAGAGGATACTTTGGATGGATATCGTGAGAAATAAGTTAAAGGGAGAATTATTTTTATCTTAACATAGGTACATACAAAAGGTAGTGGAGAGGTTTGGGATGCATCAATCTAAACTTGTTGGCACTCCTTTGGGTCATCACATAAGCTCCTAACATTGAATAGGAAAGGAAAGAAATGTGTTCTATTCGATATGCAACTGGAGTAGGGAGTATCATGTATGGCATGATTTGTAGCAAACATGATGTGGCTTATGCTATTATCAGTATGAGTCAATTTATGGCAAATCTGAGTCAAGCTCACTAAGAGGCTTTGAAGTGGATACTAAGGTATTTGAATGGTTCTAAAAAGACTAGTTTGAGGTATAAGAAGACAATTCAAGATGGAGAAGCTATTATGGGGTATGTTGATACAGACTATGCAAGAAATGTGGATATCAGAAAATCTTTATTTGTGTACGTGTTCACTTTATTTGGAACTATTGTTAGTTGGAAAAAAAAATTTATAACTCGTGGTAACTCTACAACACAAGTAGAATACATTGCTTTTATCAAAGAAGTGAAAGAACTTTTATGGTTAAAATGGATGATTGATGAATTAGGTATATCACAAAATTGTGTGATAGTTCACTATGATAACCAAAGTGTTATATACCTTGCAAATTATCAAGTTTATCATGAGAGGAGAAAGCACATTGATATAAGGCTTCGCTTTATCAGAAATGTGATTGAATATGGAGAAATTTAGATTGAGAATATTGTGTTCGAAGATAATCTTATTGATCGATGTGTTTACGAAATCTTTTTCGACATCCAAGTTCAAGCATTGCTTGGACTTGATCAACTTTGTCTGATGTTCATTTTGAAGTGAGAGAGCATTACTATTGTGAAAGGATTATTTTCTGTAGATTTAAAGTCAAGCTGAAGAATTGTTGATTATGACTCAAAATTTAATATATCATCTATATCATATGCTCTATAGTTTTTCAACTATACAATCTTATAAGTTTAGTTTGTCTTTATTCATTTGATGAGTTCGTCTTCATTAGTTTGATGGATCCAATCTATCTTCATTAGTTTAGTGGATTCATTCTATCGTTTTATAAGACTTAGTTTAGTGTCCTATATATATATGTGTGTGTGTGTGTGTGTGTTGGGGATCATTTCTATAGGTGACATAGAGAAAGAAATCGTGAAAGAAAATTGCTAAGTATGAACACGAAGAGCTACGAAAAGGATAAATAGGAACTAGTGATCATCATCTTTGCAGGCGAATTGTTCATCTTATTAGATCTCTTATTGTTGGGAATGATATTATCATTAAACATGTTTTTAGAGAAGCTAAGTGCAGTGTCGATGCCTTGGCCAAGTTAGCTCTTCAGCAACCTGTGAGTCTTTTCTTACTTAATAACTCCCCTTTTGGGGTTTTTTAACTTTTATGTGATGATGTAATAGGAGCCTCCTTCTTTTGCAAGGCTCCTCTTTAGTTTCTTTGGACTTTTGTCCTCCCTTAAATAAATAAAAAAATACATAAAGGAGAATGCAGTACTAATAAAAGAGATAAGAGAAGAGGAAGAATTTATTTATTGTAAAAACTTAATCTTATTTTTAAATAGAAAAATCTATTCTTCATGCCATTCTTTTCTTTTTCTTTTCATTCGTATTTTTCTTCTTCTCTTATCACCATAAAAAGTAATTAATGATACCAAGTATTCATTATTAAAAGTGAGTATATCGACAAATAACTTTACTGTATAACACCTGTAGAAGAATAGCACTGATGATAGATACATTGTTTTTGTAGCTTAGATATCAAAATATATAATAATTTCCACAAATTAAATAATATCGAGTAGTACTCAACTTGTCTGCGAACAATTTACGATCATTCACGTGGTATCTAATCAAAGAGTTGAATTATTCCAAAATAAAATTAATGCATGACATGACAATTCGATCGAAATTAAATCAGTTGAGTTGGTAAGATTTGTTGTTGTTTTAAACGCGAAAGACGTGTAAAAAGATTCCAGCTGGTTGAAGTGAAATGTTGAACTGTTTTGCAGACTCAAAAGTGTGTGAACTGGAAAAATCTTTTGAAAGCATCTTCATACAATCTCGTAGAAAAAACATAACAATAAAAATTAATGCACGCGTTTTTCTTTTCTGTAACAATTTTTTCATCTTTAATTTTTTGATTTAATTAAAGTATAATTATTATTTAATTATAAATGATCATGTATAAAAATTTATATATTCCCGTAATAATTATTTATATATTTATATATTTATATATTTATATATTTATATAATTTATAATTATTTAGTGATATAAATTTTTTATACCAACAATATATACAAATTAAATTTATATGTTTTTATTATAGAACTAATTTTTATTTTATATTTTTTTTAACATTATGTAGAAATTATTATAAAACTTTGTAGTAGAATTAAAATAATTCCTCCAATATAGTTTATAGACAAACTAGAGAGACATGCCTGTTTGTATTGACATGATCAATGTCTAAGAAACATTTCTCCTTTTTAAAATTTGTGAAATAATTATCTAGTTATTTTAGTTTAATAAGTTAAAGTCTTAATACATATCTGATCGAGTAACCTTCTCTATAAGTTTTTGTAGGAGAAAAAAAATAATATGTTTCTCTCAGAAGCTAAAACAAATTTACAAGTAAGTTAATTTATTTTTAACTTATACATAAATTACTTTTAGTTTATAAAAAAGTTTATTTTATTTTTTCTTTGTATTTTTTAAAAATTACTTTGAGAGAAATTTATCTAAACATAATTGTCGAAATCATACTCCACAAACTCATATTAGTTCTTGGTTATGAATTTTGAGTGACCACAAACAAACAAAAAAATTCTGAATATGTTCATAATTTTCTGAATAAGAAGAGTGGAACAAGTTTGTACGTCTATCATGTTACATGAAATAAAAAAAGATACAGGTATCCAACTTGCCATTGTCTTCTTTTTATTATTATTATTATACTATCACTGTTATTGCTTTCTACGTACAATGTTTGGCATGTTGTAGCATTTGATTGTATAATTAAGAGCAGCAACAGCAAGTCTGAAATGTGAAGCAAAACAACTACGAAGAGTGAAGAGCATAGCAATTAATAGCACTATGGGTTTTGACTCAGGCTACGACAGAGCGAAGGAAGTGAAGGAATTCGAAGAGAGCAAAGGAGGAGTGAAAGGACTCGTGGATTCTGGCATTCTCAAGCTTCCAAGATTCCTCATCCACCCACCAGAGACTCTTCCATCATCATCATCATCTTCCACACGCTTGCATTTGCATGTTCCTGTGATAGATTTCACGGGACACGATGTTGATGATCGCAGAAGGTCAGAGATAGTGGGGGAGATTCGGGAAGCATCGGAAAAGTGGGGTTTCTTCCAAATGGTGAATCACGGAGTGCCAGTTAGCGTTATGGAGGAGATGGTGAGAGTGATAAGAGAGTTTCACGAGCAAGAGAGGGAGGTGAAGAGAGAGTGGTATTCGCGTGATGAGAAGATGAGAGTGAGGTTTTTCTGCAATGGAGATCTTCTCGTTGGAAAAGTTGCAAACTGCTGGAGAGACACCTTAATGTTTGATTACCAACATGGTTCTCTTTCTCCTCAGGATTATCCACCACTATGCAGGTAACTGTGGTGCTTGTGAGAGTTGTTTTAGTTAACTTTTGAATATTTGAGTAGCTTTAGGGTTTAGCTAGGTTGTTGTTGTGAAAGTTGTTTTCCTTGTAGGGAAGCAGTGATTGGATACATGGAGCACATTTTCAAGCTGAAGGAGACATTGTCACAACTACTTTCAGAGGCATTAGGGCTCAATAGGGACTATCTTACTAAGATAGAATGCATGAAAGGTGAAACGGTGGTGTGCCACTATTATCCACCTTGTCCAGAGCCAGAGTTGACACTTGGCACCACTAAGCATTCAGACCCATCATGCCTAACAATTCTCCTCCAAGATAACATAGGTGGTCTCCAGGTTTTGCATCAAAATCAATGGGTTGACATAAACCCCATTCCTGGAGCATTAGTGGCCAACATTGGTGACTTCATGCAGGTAGTATAACATGGATTCCTCTACTCAAGTATCTCCTAGTCCAAAGTTGAAAACTATATTCACATTGACTATCTACAAGTGCATGTTTTTCAGAGTTTTATTTTAGTGAGAAAAAAAAACTTTTTTATTTTAAGTAGAAAAACTCTTATAAACTTGTATTTAAATCATGATTTTAAAAATTGAAATGAACTGGATGGTCATACCAGTTCGATCGAGAATTGATACTTAATTAATCTGATTGATTTCAAAAATCATTTTGTTATGAACCAATAAAAAATTGATAAAATTGGTCAAATTAGTTTCAACCAGTTTAATTAAAAAAATATTTTTAAAATTTTAAAATTTAATTTAAAATATTTTAAATAAAAATACATATTTTAAAAATTATAAAGTAAAATAACTTATTTTTAATACTTCTCTTAAAAATTATAATTTGATCATTTATGTTAATTTTTAGTTTTTTAATCTTTATTTTTTATAATTTAATTTATATTATTTTAATTTGATACCCTTTATTCTAAATGTAAATCTGTTATTATTAATATATATTGTTATATTTTATTAAAATATAAACTTAAATATTATATTATATTAAATATTAAGAATTTATAAATAATATTTTATTTTAATTAATAGTTATATATAATTCTATATTTATGTGATATTATTTTTATATTGATAATAATAATTATTATTATTTTATTAATATCAATTAAACCTTAAATCAATTTAATGACTGATCCGATTTTAAAAATATTGATTCAAACAGACTTATTGTATGTATTGTCAGGAACTTTATTATATGCTAATAAAATATCTCGTTGATTACTTAAAAAAAAAATATGGTTAGAGGTTTCTCTTTTTGAAAAAGTTATTAGGTTAAAAGGCCTATAAGCAAATAGAAATAATGAATGACTTATAATTATACAAACAAGAATCCAGCATAAAAGTCCTTTGTGGAGGGAAGGCTAGTGTAAAGTAAAGTATCTCATTTATTTTTGCCATTTTTTGTGTAGCTTATCAGCAATGACAAGTTCAAGAGTGTTGAGCATCGAGTACTAGTTGGACGAGTTGGGCCTAGGGTATCAGCTGCATGCCATATATATCCCAACAAAACCCATAAATATGGGCCAATAGAGGAGTTCATATCCAACGAAAACCCACCCAAATATAGGGAGACCCATATTGGGGAATATCTTGCTCATTATAGGCTTAAAGGGCTTGATGGCTCCAAGGCCCTCTTATATTTTACGTTATAATTACTAGTTCATGCCTAATTGCCTATGTAACTACGTTGAAATAAAATTGATCCTTCATGCTTTTCCTATTAAGCCTTAATCATGCTTATTATATTGTAATGACCAATACACATGGTAACTTTATCATCTGATTGCAATTATAAAATAAAAAAACTTGTTAAAGATTTGTGCATTAACATGTTTGTAACTAGACAAGCAACAACACATTTCATATTTTTAAGGAAATAATGCGTGTAAATTTAGCAATTAGCTTAGGGGTGACAAATTTACCCTATCACGATATTAACAAAAGACGAAGTCAGATATCATATTAAAAAATTAATCACGATACTTCTTTTAGAAGAATTTTGTATGTAGTTTAGGTTAACCAATTAAGAGTGTTTGCTACAAATACTTGAAAATTAAGAACTTTTAAGAAATTCTTATTTTATGATAGATAAGAAAAATCTCGTAAGTAACTATTAATTATCATTAATTATATGTTCTAATTAAATAAATTATAATTATTAACCTACTTAGACTTACATGTTTATTAGTCTATTTATAAATCATAAAATAAACCAAACCTCACTCGTGTTTAAATATAAAAATCTCATTTCGACTTGTGAGATCCATTAATTTACTTAAACTCTAATTCCTTAAAAGTGAGAATCTAAACTTCCTTACCAAGTATTATTTCCTAAAATACTTAATAAACAAATTTACATTAAATATAAGGATTTAAAATAAATAATTTCTTAAATTTCCTTACCAAGTACCATTTCCTTAAATACTTGATAAATAAACTTGTATTAAATACAAGGATTTAAGACATATAATAGGTCAAGCTCAATTCTTAGAAGGGACATTTTATCCATTACACATTTGACTAAACATTAAAATGCTTCTTTACTATCTTTCTATAGAAAACAAACAACGAAATCAAATTCAACAAAGTTGTAGCCTCCTTCAATAGGTTTGTGCCTCCATCCAACAACAACCACTTTCGTTGAATCATTGGATACATTAGGTAGATGACTAAAATACAATACCCTGCTATTTTTTAATAACCTCTTGTTGCCAAGGGGCAAGAGGAGTTGAAAGAGAAGTTGTCGATGGTAAGGTTCAACACATGGGACATGAGAGGCTTACATGCAACCACTTGTCAAAGCATTCTCCATGAAACAAACTAACCATAATCAGGTAAAAGCTTCAACCAGTCTTTGTCCTTGTGATCTGCCAAGCATATCGAGAAACAAGATGCTTCTTAATCATGCTTATTCTATGTCTTGGGAATACAAACAACAATGTTTACTAGTAATTGTATTAAAAATAAAATAAAAACTCTGCTAAACACAATCAACTTAAAGTACCATAAGGTCCCTAAAGAATGTGATGCCACAGTAATGACAGCAGAAGATTACTCCCTTCTGCTTAAGAATTGAACCAAGGGACGAAACATAGTGTTGGAAAACTGCCTTAATTGCAACCATTTTTAGAGAAAACCAACCAGGTTGGTATCCAACTCTCTTCGATGATCCCAAATTCTATGGTATCGAAGTCTACAGTCATTGTTGAGCCACTTGTATTGCCACACTCCAGGCCTACAGCCCTGGACGTGAAGGAATGCATTTGAAAATTGCCTTAAATGTAATCACCTGTGGATCGCCTTAATTGTGGCCTATCAAAGTTAGTTGCCAATGAGTCAGGCCCTAACCTAAATTCTAAAATGGAATGAGTCTATCTTATATCCATTGTTGAGCCATTTGCATGTTGGAAAGTCACATTAATTGTGGTCACCCTTAACTTGACTTAATTGAGGCCTATCATTATAAAAAATAAAAATAAATAAATAAATAAACTACTTACCGAGTTGAACAAAAAGGTTGAGTAAAGTGTCATAATTTGAAACCACCAAAACGTCAACTATTGAGATCTCATATTGACAAAAAAAATACAACTATTGTAGTTCTTATAATGTTTAGACAATCCTGATCTTACAAAGTTAGTTTTGTAAAGTTGAGATGGGCCTTAAGTCCAAATTCTAAGACATAGGAAAGAAAAACAAAACAAACTAGTATCCTAGTTCCAATTTTTAGCATGTTTAACTTGTCACATTCATTAATAACTACAATTGACTGAAGCTTAGCTACTACAAATAAATAATTAATTTTGAGTATAAATAACTCAGCAACCAGTCCATGACTGCATGGAAGTCCCATTTTACAGATGAATGGAAGGTGTCAGTAGGCATTTACTTATAATTATTACCTGTTGGGACAGTTATTAACAGATTCCAACAAATTTTAATTTTTGACTACCTTGAGAAAAAAAATAAATAAAGACAAAAGGCCTTGCAGTGAGAAAAAAAATGAGAAACCAAGAAGAATAAAATGAAAACCTGGACATTGATCTTGCATGCAGTAAGGCAGTTGTGGAGAAGCAAGAAGATCTTGGTTGCAGTGTCTTGAGAAATGATAGCATGAAGAATGGTTGCTGAGATGATGCCATGTTGGAGCAACATAGGAAGAATAAAAAGAGGGGGACTCATAATGTTGAGTTAATTTCACTCTTGCGGCACATCACCATGTTTTCACCTGTTTTATATTTAAAAACTTCCAAAGAAAACAGAGAAAAGAACCTTTTACATGTTTTCTGATTTGAACTTAATTTATAAAATATTTTCTTGAAAAACATTTTCTAAAATACAACCAAACATGTCTCTAACCTTATTTTCTATTTTGTTATTGAAAATAAAAGTAGAAAATTGATAAAGTGAATAGGCCCCTAACATTTGAGCATCATTTCAAAGATCAAGTTACAACAGTCAATGAAGCAACTTTAGATGTTTCCAAAAATCAAATAGTTTTTATGAATACATTGTGCTCTTGGATTGCAGTAATTGAACAAGCGGCCACAAGATATCCAATCTGTGTAAGTTTCTGTTGTTTTGAACCTGTGATAGATAATTTACTGATCAGTATCAATCGCATGGTAGTTGAATATAAAAGATAAAAGTTTGCAGTTAAGAATTCTTGCACTTGCACTCTTGTATTCCATCAATGTTCAGATATAATGCGCCAACTTATAGAATATCTGTAAATTACTCATTTACTTGAGGAACATACATCATACATGGCTTATATAAAGTTTCTGTCAAATTCAGATTGTTTATTAAAAAGATAGTTCAACTGAAGTCCAAAGATATTAATGAAGATATAAAAACTTCCAAGTTACAACTTACAGCAACTTTAATTACCATAATTCTTACATAAATATTATGAATTAGGTGGCTTGATATGTAAAGGCAGTTCCACGAAATTGAGCAGTGTATAAAATGGAAAAATGCAACTATAATTTTCATGATTATAGTCCATAGACCATGTCTTGGTATCTAAGCAGCAATCAATCACTTGATGTTTTCATCCATGAATCATCATGATACACAATAGTTTTTACAACATATTTTAATTAATTTTAGAACATGTATGTTGTTTTTTGGGTCCTAGAGTATAAAAATGTACTGAGTTTGTTTAATTGAATGAGAAATAAATCTTACTTCTGATCCTGCCTCAACCACAAAACATATACATGTCTTCTCACCATGAGCTTCTGTCGCACCATTCAAAATTGTCAGGCCCAAGCTTCTGATGGCTTCTGCTATCTCAAGAAAATGGCTGCACTCCTCACACAGCATCTGCAGTATAAGTCATAATTTACATACAAGGGACATACTTTGTTGCTGATGTTGAGTACGAAGTACTAACTTAGAAGGGCTCCTAGCTCCCATTTCTCGTAAGTCATAAGTTTTTCTCTTGTTTATTCTAGAAGAATATAAGTCTATTTGGATAAACTTCTCTAAGCACTTATAGGAAAAATGAAATAAATTTCTCCATAAACTAATTTGTAGAAATTCTCTCATATTAACTTCTCTAAACTTATTTTTAACCCAAGCATAAGTTAATTTTAATTTATGGAGAATCTTATTTTATTTTTCTTCCAATTTTCTTCTCTTATAAGTATTTAACTATTTATTGGAGAAATTTATCCAAATTGACCCAAAATCAAAGTTGTAATTCTCAACTCCTACACACCTCAACAAGCATCTGACCATTCTTATTAAGATTCTCCACTAATATTGAACGAACTTTCAGATGGCCTCCTACTTCCATTGCCCAACTTGAACCCTGTTGATAACTAGATGATCCAAGATTGTCTTTCTCCATGTGATGCAACTGCACAATTGCAATAGCATTAATCAATGGAGATAATATAACATATATAATTATATAATATAATAAAAATTATATTATATAATCTGAGTAAGGAACCAGTGTATTTATAGTAACCAAATATCAATGCCCATTACCTAAATGATCAGGAGTATAATCAACTTCTTGATAATGATAGCCTATGAACCAGAGGTAGAATTCTAAAATCCCATTAAACCATACCTTTGTCTTTGTATCTGCAAATTTATTTAGCTTGTCAGCATGCTTAGTTATATTCTGAAGAAAGAGCATGTGTTTTATTGTGCACTCCAGTAGTGAATCAATACTGCACTGTTGACATGATACAAAAAAATAAAAAATTAGCCATTGGAATAGGAACAACAACCATCAAAAAATAAAAACATACCAAGACAGTATTAGCAAATATGTGATAGCAAGATACCTTTGCACCATTTGGAACCAGTTCCCTCAACTCCTTGATACGATCCTGGATGAGTTGTCTGTCCCTTGGCCTAGGCCTACAACTTTCCCCAGGCCTAGCCCTCTTCTTACTGTTCTTAGTGGGTTCTGAAGACCTCTCAAACTGTTCACTACATGAACTAGGACATGTTGAAGAAAAACCCTTTGGTGATATTACACCACATATCCCAGATGAACTCAAACTATGATGTTTGTCCTCTCTAACAAGATGAGACTCATCCATTGAACAACCATCTGAATTAATAGTGTGCACAGTGTGGATAGAACCTTCAGGATTTCTTCCTGAGGCCATTGCAGCCTGCATTGATGTTGAAAATGATAATTCGCTATTAACATTATTATTACTATGGCATATGTTAGCCACCATTGCTTCCAAGAGATGCTCTGGGCGAGATTCAGAAGTCGATTGGCTACAGCTAATATCGTCTGAGATCTCAGCAGTTTTATCCTGATTTGTCTCTGTTTCCCAATCAAAATATTTACTCCCTTTCAGAAAACTTGGTCCAAGTGCTTCATGTAGCTCATAACCAGCAGGGAACTTCAATGTATATGAGGTATCCTTGTAACAAGGTTCAGTCTGAAACTTTGACTTATCAATATTTTTTTGGGAGTTTGCATCTGAAGGTCCGGGCACATTCAACACTTCTTTTTGGTTGATATCTACATAATGAGACATGTCACTCTCACAAACAGCTGCATCAAGAAAGTCTGAAGGGAAGGATACACAATCAACTCTGACATTTTCTGATGGACATACTAAATCACTCACACCATTATTATCCATGATCAAATTGTGTGAAAATGACGAAACATTTTTTCCTGATTCCAAACTTGTATCTTCACAGCCACTATTCTTCCCTTCAAACTTCCTCTCATTTACAGGTCTCATCCCTACAAATTTTTGGTTCTCCACATTCGTCATATTTGACATTGACTGAAGCAAAAAGGAATTTCCCTCACTGTTTAATTCAGGCCCCTCATGCTTGGCCACATCAACAACCATTTTCTGATAAACAGCATGAGGTGAATAATTCTTCCCAGGAAATTGAGAGGGCATTAAAATATCCGGTGCTTCACACTTCATGGTTTTTGTTGTATTGTAGAAGTAAGCAGGCATACTTTCTGAAGTTTTTGTGTCCAGCTGAAAAGAAAAAAATGAAATGTAAATTTTATGATAATACTCGATGCATATGGGATAAAAAATAATTATGCACACACCATTTTCTGTTAGTGTGTGAAAAGATGAACATGACAATGGTCACACAAACTGTACCCTACTAACACAAGCACATTCATGAAGGGTGAAGACATATACATTGAAAGAAATGGAGACAGGAGGTTACCAAAGATGAATGCTTCTCACTATTTTGTACTTGATTAGGAACATGGCCTATTATGTAATCTTGAGTAGACAAAAGGAGACTTCGGATACAGGTTACGACCCCCACATCTTCAATAACCTGCTATCAGGGATAACAGAAAATGAGCTAATTATAAATATTTCAATAACAAAACAAATGGACTTCCACATAAATATTCAACATATATCAGAATATATTCTAAAACTATCAACCATATCCACATAAAACTAAAGCAGAAAATTAAGCACGAGACCTACCAATTTATAAACACTCGCATGTTAAAATATTAGAAGAGATCATAGAAGCAAGTAATCACAACTGCACAAGTCTGTAATAAATGGTACAAATCTTTCTCAAGATCAAAAGGCTGTTTAGATAAACTTATCCATAGGTACTTTTAGGAAATGAAAATACAAAAAAGAAAATGAAATAAGTTTTTCTCCATAAGACAAAATTATCTTATGCTAAAAACATATTTTGTAGAAGCTAATATGAGAGAACTTCTATAAATTATCTTATGCATAGGCTAATTTTAGCTTTTGGAGAAGCTAATTCCTTTTTTTTTTTTTTTCTTCTCCTATAAGTGCTTATGGGGAAATTTAGACCCTAAGCACTCAACTTGTCAGCCAATTTAGATACCAATTTATATAACAGAAAACAAAGAGATGCAAAATGCAAGTGTTTTCACTGTTATCTAAGCTCTACCATTTAGGTCAGCATTTACCAAAGACTTCCACCCATTCCAACAGGCGACATGCTTGAAAGTTGTTAGTGAACAACATGCAAGCATATAATGTTTCATAATAGTAACATTAGTGTTATCATATGTAGAATTATATTCACAAAATCAACACTAAAAAAATCCCTTAGTATTTTATGCTCGACAAAGGCTACAAAGTTTCCATAGATGTTTCTTATTTCATAAGATAAAAATATACATTTATTTATATATTTTGTATAATTAGGAATTTGAATTGACATGTATTCAAACAATATCTGAATCACACCCAAGCAGTTTCCAAAATTAGACTAGATGAGACGAAAAACAAGGCAAATCATATTATTTGAATAGTTATACTGTGATGGAAAAATTAAAAGAAAAATACAAACAAACCTTAAAATACCGAAAAGTGAAATCAACGCATGAAAAAATAGTATGGGATAACAGATGCATTACAGAACCACAGCAGTAATCACATTCACCAGCAACGTGGAATCTAAGCAAAAAAATAAATTAAAAAAAAAAAAAAAGACTATAGACATCTTACTTTATTTAAAGAGCCAAGTTGAACAACTCCAAGGGGTACTACCGCTACAACAACAATGGTCTACAACACAAAGTAAAAGGCCTGTTAATGAAAAACCTTATGGTAGAAAAGTCATCTTCCAAAAGAGAACCACCGGTTTTCTAACAGAGTACAGCAGAAGTCCAGATTCCAGAACCTTAGTTTTTTAATTTTTCTAGCTTCATTACTATGCAACTGAAACAATCCATCTATCATAACACAAATATCTAGCTCCATCTCCTTATTTTAAAAAATATAATTATAACAAAGAATCCCATTTAGGATCAATTGGAGTACTTTTAGGTAAAAAAAGATTGCCACAAATTCATTAAGACAATGATGCACACGTGATTGATCCACACTAGTAGATTTAACTCTGGAATCTGAATCACCAAACTAGGCTTCAATGCTCAACAAGGTAATATGATAACATGCAGATAGCATTTTTATCTGAATCTACTAATTTTGGCAGATGTAGTACTCTAAATAAAAATGTACAGAAGATTCTGGTTGCATTAGAACAAGTGAAATATGAATAGTAAGCCAGGGTCCTTCAATGGCTAGATAATTTGTATATTAAGTCTATTACACTAACCACAATTTCCAAATATATTGTTCGAATTAAATCATACGTTAGCCATTATCATCCTTAGAAATGAGAGGGAATTCCAATTTCTAGGTAAAATATAGAAATTTCTCTCTAGCTATTTTCATTGAGATTGAATTTTGTATTGTTAGCATTATCTTACCCTAATTCCAGCAGAAAACTGAGATTGCCACCCATCAACAAACTGAAAACAAACCAAAGAGAAGGAATGGAATCATATGAATTGGACGATTAGTTATGTAATATGTACAATAAGAATCATACGTGTCCAGTTTCAGTTATAGAACTTCAAATCTTACAAGGAAGAGAGAACATTAGTGGCTAGCGATAACATTAAAGAATAAGAATACCCACCTCAAAAGATGGGCCGGAGCTTGAAACTTGATTATCTACACAGATCCACCGATGCTTTCCAGTAACAGCTACCTGTCCAACAATTCTGTAAAAAAAAAAGCATTATTAGTCTAGGAGCTACATATATATGAAGATTAAAATAATCTTAAGTAGCATATGCATTCATTAGTAAAGCCATACCCTTCCCCTAATGAATATACATGATATGACATCTTTGCCACAGCTAACCCTAGAGGATCATGTGAAAAATCTGCACTGCCAATCTGCTCCAATGTATTCTGGCAGCTCTTATTTTCGGAAGAGTCGCAACTATTTGGATTGTCATAGTAAGCATCCTCCCATGTCAAGATTCTGCAAGCAAACATCACACCTAGATATCTCAAGCCATGCCCTTTAGTTTAAAATCCATAATTCTAACAAGTATCATATATATGCTCAAATGTAATCACCAAGAAAGCACTACATCGAAGAAACTAAACTTAAATCACCAAACTAGTAAAAAGATGCCATACATACTACATATATAAACCTCAAAAAGAAGGACAAGTAAAATTGAGAATATAAACCATACATCCGAGCCCGATGTTTGAGCTTCCAAAAGATAGCATACTTCCAATCAGTACCCAAACAGAAGCTCCTGAGCAATCGGTGCAAGTTGCTACCCATTTTCTTCTTCTTCACAAAATCAAAACTTTTTTCACACCCTTTTTAATCACACCTCCAAAAACAAAAACAACCACAACAACAACAACAATAACAATCTAAACCCTCCAATTCCCACAACACCACCTTTGCCTTAGCTTCCCCTATAAGACCCTCTTCCAGCCTGTTTCCTCCGCAACCCTGCTCGCCGTTTTAATGGCGGTCCAACCGTTGCCAATAGCAACCGATCCCTACCCATCACTACTCACACCACCAAGCTTCCAACTTTACGGCTTCACAAGCTTCTAGAAGAATTCACACTCACATTTGCCACCACAAGAGATTCAACCAAACCTTCCACGCACACACCAGCATTGCAAGCTCCCATGGCTGAAGACAGATTCCAAAGAAGTGAGCGACCAAGATAAGACACAATTTAGCTTATATCTGAAGACATGGATGAATCCAAAAGAGTGTGAACTGAAGCCAGAACGATATGACAACTCAGAAAATAAAGGGGTATGGTGAAAATAACAAACAAACCACAAAGTTCAAGGCTTTACGGAAACTCAAACCATAAATTTCTAGTCTTTGAGCTTCATTCGTTGGAGAAAAGAAAATTCCAACTGTTTTACTTTCGTTTTCTTCACAGTGAGAAACAGTTTCCCTCAGTATCAGAAATGCAGAAGTGGAAGTGGTCGCATAGAGTGTTTTTATATTGGAGTTAACATGCGCACTTTCTCTCTTTTTAGCTTTTCATTGGAGGGAACATGAGCACGCAACGCATTTTAGCAAAGGGCAAAGGCTTAATGCGCAACACATGCTTAACAAGGAACGCTACTCATGAAGGTTTATATTAGAGGCTAATTTGAGGAGTAACAATGAGGACAAAAGCCGAAGGGTAAGGGAGGAACTATCCAATTGGGTTATGAGTACGGTTTATGGTGTCAATTGATGTGGCCAGCAACATCATATCAAATTGAGGAAATTCATCCTTATCCTTTTTTTTTGCCCCTCAAATTTTCCAATCCATTGTTTTGAAACCCTGGCCTAGTGAAGTTACTAAGCCATAACGTCCTTTTCAGCAATGATCTTATTGTCCTAAAGTTGTGACACATTTTTCATCACTTGTTGTAACCTTTTCCTACTTTATACCTCATTATAATTAATATTCCTTAAGGATTCTGGGTCTTAATAATTCAATTTTTTTTTTCCTTAAGGGTTGGTTATCTTTGGGCCTACCCACATTCCATTGGAAGGTAGCAGCCATGCCTTGTGATCATGTCATGCACCGGTTTAACCGGGCAACTTCAATTTGATCCTGGTTCAAATGGGATAAGTCAAGCATGTTCGTGATTTCACTCAACAGAGTTTTATTCTAAGATGTTTTTGTCCTACCACCACCTTAAAATATGTACGTTTCCTTGCCCCGCACCAACTCAACATCATTTTTGGAATCCCATTATTTGTTTTAACACTGCAATATTCGTGAGTGATTATTGCCATTGATTTTTAATCATTTTTTCCTTTTCTTTATTACGCTGTTCTTGTATTAATCCATTTTTGTAAGGAGTAGTCACTAGGGGAACTTTTTACTGTACTAGAATTTTTATAAAGAAAACATACAAAAATAAACCTTCCATTAATTTATTTACGAAAATAAACCACTTTATTGTGCATGTTCAGAATACGTTCTCCCAAGAATCGAATTCCGACTAGCACAGTAATATAAATTTCCCAATTGACTGTTTGAAGGTAATATATTTTTCCTGCCGGGATTCGATCCCTTCGAATTCCGTGCAGGATTAAACTTTTTTTTCAGTAATTTTAATATATATATATATATATATAAATTAAATTTAAAAATAATTTAAAAATGTATTATAAATATAAGGAAAGATTTAAATAAATAATAATTTTAATAAATTATATTTATAATAAATTA